GCGGCGCGGGGCGCGCGGGGCAAGTGCAGCTCGGGACTTGGCCAGCCAGATTCTCCCCTACGAGCACACCGGGTCCGGTCCTATCTTCGTAGGATCCAGAAGTGTCCCCTATTGAGCTCTGGGACCCGGACTCCCGTCCATCCAGACGGTGAGCCTCTCACCCGGACGCAGGATCCTGACTCCCGACTCCAGACCAGACGCGGATCTTTCCACGTCCTGGGACCCTCCCGATATTAGATCCCGGAGCTGGGCACCCTGATCTTCCTGTCCACCGCCCCCACCACAGACACCCTACGGCTCAGGACCCAGATCCCTGTGCCATCCCTCAAGACCTAGGCACTTCCCGCGCCCTGGACACAAACATCTCACTCACCAAGGAGCCCCAGGCCTCCTGATGGTCATGTGTCCCCTGTCCCGCCCCCCGCCCCCGGACGCCTCCGAGATCTTTCCCTTTCCCTCTCCACCGCGATCAGACCTGAGGAGCCGTGATTCACCTGCCCACTTGCAGCTCCTAGCCCATCGCTTGGCTGCTGGTCCTTCCCCGGTGCTCCTCTCAGTTCCCCCTCAGTTCTGTCACTTCCACGTCGCGCCCGCCTCAGCCTCGCCCCCATCCCTTGGAATCTCTCCAAGATCGTCACCCTGGTGGCCGCCGCGGTGGCGGGTGGGCCGACCAGATTTCATGCTAGTAACTTAGCTGTTCCAAGGTGGGGAGCCCCGCACAGGCACAGCTGGCCACAGCCTCCGGAATCCTGTCAGGTCCTATCTGTCCCAGAGCCCCAGTCCAGCTTTGGTTTCCTCGCTCAACTCTGCTCAGCTATCCTCCTGCCCCGCAGATCCCGACTGGGCCTCTTACAAGCTGGGAATCTTCATCTGTCTCCACTGCTCTGGCGTCCACCGCAACTTCCCGGACATCAGCAAAGTTAAATCCGTGAGACTCGACTTCTGGGACGACAGTATTGTGGAGGTAGAAGGGTGTGCAGGTGGAGAGTCTCGGAATTGCAAAGTTGGGGTGGAGACAGGGAGTGGGTGTTCCCAGTCCAGAGAAGAAGAAACTGAAGCCCAGCCAGTGTCACCGACTAACAGAGGAAACACAGTAGACTGGCATTTTAGACAGAGGCCCTAAGGACATATTCTGACTCATCACTTGCTCACTTAGAAGCCCTGAGGCCCTGAGCTACTTACTTAATCCTAGCTGTGAACTCTTAGTTTCCACATCTGTATTATAGGCATACCTACCTTCTCGTAGGGATGCTAGAAGCATTAAATGCAGGCTCATTTGAGGAATAAAGTAGGCAGTCAATTAACAGTTGCTCTTATCATCAATGGAAGTCCTAGACTGGGAGAAGAGAAACATGCTATGGTCCTCCTGCCCTCCCGGAGCTGGGAAGAGGACCACTTTGCTTTACTGCCCTGTGGGCACTGAGGACTCCCTTAACCTGGAGGGGTAGTAACATTTTGGCCAGATAAATCTTCAGAGAGCAGGCAGTTTTATACTGTACTTGTTGGCTGAGGAGTTCAAGAACAATTGGGGAAGCAGATCAAATGACTTAGCACCCACTCTGTGCCAGGAACTGTCCCAGAAAACCACTGGGATGGATGTTTTACTTATTCAGCTAAAACATAGTTACTCTAAGCCTACTATGTGTTAGGTGCTGGGAGAGAACAGTGGACAAGACAAGGTCCTTGCTTACCTGGGACTTAGATTCTAGTTCAGAAGTCAATCTGCACATAAACCTGAAGCGTTTTATTTGTGCCTTTTCTTCATTTTTATACGTGAGATCTCAGGGTCAGTCCTGGAATAAATGGCAGAATCTCAGCCCTGTTGGGATCCAAACCTGGTACATATCCTGTGACGGTAGCCCAACAGCTCCCGGGAAGGCGAAGAGTACTGATCACTCTAACCAAGGGTGTCCCTTCAAAACCTGGAGTTTCTTCCCACTGCTGCTCTCACCTAGATATGCTACCTCCACCGTCCACTCTGGTCCACTGATCACCCTGACATATGTATTCTATGGGGCCAGCACCCACTTCCATCCTCCAGCTGCCTCTGTCTTTTGAAGACATTTAGAGCTGCTGGGGGTCCTGCCATCTGCGGAAGGAGTAGGTGAAAGAATGTGAGCTTTGGAGTCAGACAGGTCTAGGTTCAAATTCCAGTTTTCCACTTTCTAAGCTATGTTGCCGAGGACAGATCATTAAGCCTCTCTGAGCCCAAGTTGCCTCATCTCTAAAATGAAGATGGCCATATTAAAATGGCTAAGGGTATCCAATGAGCCTCTGTGTAAGAATTGTGAAGTGTTGTTTCCGTTTGAGGCATGGATATTATTGCCCCTCATTGGTCAGCCTGGGACTTCCTGGCAGCGCAATTAGCAGGCCTGGTGGGACATGTCCTTCTTGGAGGCAGTTCCTTCTGACCCAGCCTAGAAGCCAGCGAGACCTATAGCCTTCTGGGTAGACCAGGGTTTCATTTCACATTTTTCCAAGTTCTTAAGATTATCTTAAATTGCTGTTGTCTTGCAGTTCATGACTCACAATGGGAACCTCCGTGTGAAGGCCAAGTTCGAAGCCAGAGTCCCAGCTTTCTACTACGTTCCCCAAGCCAATGACTGCCTGTAAGTGGGCAATTCTTTAGGGGCTGGCTGAGAGGTTTTCCTGGTCCCATCCCCCAAACCTCTACCCCATCTCGGATGCCTTTGTCTGTGGCAATCTCTCCTGTGGACCAGGTCAGCAGGTAGATCCAGGAGTGCATCTGATACCATCACAAATGAATCCTGATTTAAACTGGGCATGATGGCACCTGCCTATACCTCAGCTACTCAGGAGGCCAAGGCTGGTGGATTGCAAGTTTGAGGCAATTGAAAGTTTGTCCAGCTTAGTGAGATCCTGTCTCAAAAAAAAAATAATAATAATAAAAGGGCTGAGAATGTAACTCAGTGATAGAGTATTACAAAAAAAAAAAAAACAAAACTTAAGGCTTAAGCCTCTTTCTACCTCTGTTGTTTGGTATGTCATTTCCCTCTTTGGGCCTCAGTTTCCATTGCTGTGAGATGGGGAATTTTCTGAACTGTCTATCACTCTGCCTCCGATGTTCTGAGAGCCTACAGGTGATAGAGGAGAGATGTGGGTATTTTAATAGAAAAGTGTGTTTTAGCTACTTCCTGTTGAGTGTTCTGTCTAGGACTATCCCACCTCAGCTCAGGTTGACTACAAAAACTTGCTTAAGCTGCAGATCCCTAAATAATAACGATAAAAGTGCTGGGCACAGTGGCGCATGCCTGTAATTCCAGCAGTTTGGGAGGCTGAGGCAGAAGGATAGTGAGTTCTAAACCAGCCACGGCAACATAGCAAAACCATGTCTCAAAATAAAATATGAAAAGGGCTGGGGATGTGACTCAGGGGTTAAGTGCCCTTGGATTTAATCCTCAGTACCATAAATAAATAAATAACCATAAAAGTAATGACCGCTGTCAGGTGTGGTGGCGCATGCCTGTAATCCCAGCTACTTGGGAGGCTGAGGCAGGAGAATCACAAGATCAAGGCCAACTTCAATAATTTAAATGAGACTCTGTCTCAAAATAAAATAAAAGGGACTAGGGAGTAAGTCAGTGGTAGAGTGCTTCTGGATTCATCTGACCAAAGGTTCTCTGTTTTTAGGGTGTTAAAGGAACAGTGGATTCGAGCTAAGTATGAGAGACAGGAGTTTATGGCTGATGGGAAAACGGTCCCTCCCCCAGGTAAGGTAACTTTCATATCTTGTGGAATCAGTGTTCTGAAGAGCCCTACCAACAAAATGCCGACTATTAGGAGCAAAATCCCTCCATGAGATGTCTGTTGCCCTGGCTCTGCCCACAGTATCCAAGGGGTGGATATCTGCACCTTGAAACAGCTAGAAAATCAGCAAGTGGGGTCTTGCAGTCTGAGCAGCAGAGAAGCATCTAGGTCTCAGATCCTTGCAGGGCCACAGGTGTATGCAGAATCTTAGCATGAATTGTAGGACGATTTCCACACCGGGCAGGCCCATTAAACAAGGCATGGCACTCCTGGCTAATGCCATTCCTGGTGCAGCTCACAGCTTAGTGAGGAGCATGGGCTGCCTTTCAGCCTCCCTATCTGCCATTGTGAGGGCACAGCCTCATTGGTGGCCATGAATCTATGACAGTTTTAAGCCTACTGCCCTGAGTCCAAGCTGACAGTGACCCAGAGAGCAAAGAGTGGTGACTCTTGGAGAAACAGAGGCAGCCAACTTTAGCTATCAGGAGCACCAATTAGTCTTCAAACCAGCAAGCACCTTGAGGTCACTCATTATTTCCAAAGTTTCATGAGGCTGATGGCCATGTGAAGTTGGGCTGAACCACATATATTTAGGCGTCTTCCAAAATCCTTCCAGTTTGTCAAGACATAGACTACTTAAGGTTTATTGTGTCTCCTAGTGAGACGGCCTGACACCATGGAGAGCCAAGAAAGCCAGGTTTTGCATGGGGTGGGAGTGTGGGGGGTGTCTGACTAAGATAATACGCCATGGCAAAGCTGTCCCCAGGCAAGACCCTTGCTCCCTGCAGCTAACATAGCCAGTTAGATTGGGGGTATCTAGGCAACAGGTGGAGGGTTCTTTCTGCCCCGAAACTCTAAGAGGTTCCTGCGTCGTTTGTGCATCCTAAGGTCATGGGCATTCACTTCTTCTCTCCCTGGTGGTCAAGGTAACCGAGAAGGAATTCTGTGGAAGCGGGGAAAGGACAATGCACAGTTTCTGAGAAGGAGATTTGTCCTGCTGGCAAGAGAAGGAGTCCTGAAGTACTACACCAAGGAGGAGGTAGGAGGCCAGACGGGCCAGGGGCTTCCTCCCCCCTCACTAACCAGCCTTCTTGTTAATGGATGCGCTTGGTCTTGTGGATAATTTCAGATCCTAAGAGACTCCACATTCTCTTCCTTTTCCTTGTTTAGGCAATTAATCCAATCCACTGAAAACACACTCTTTGTTCATATAGAATCAGCTTAAACTAGTTCAATTTTGGTTTGGGTTGGTTTTTGAAACAGGGTCTCACTATGTTGCCCAGATTGGTTTTTCTTTTTCTTTTTTTTTTTTTTTTTTTGGTATGAGGAATTGAACCCAGGGGCGCCCTCACTTAGTTGCTGAGGCTGGCTTTGAACTTGCAATCCTCACTGCCTCAGCCTCCTGAGCTGCTGGGATTACGGACGTACACCACCATGCCTGATCCCAGGCTTGTCCTGAACTCTTGGGCTTAAGGCGTCCTCCTGCCTCAGCCTCTCAGGTAGTTAAGACTGCAGGTGTGTGCAACCATGTCATGCAACTGGTCCATGTTTAAGCCTCTGATGATCGCTTGATTTTATTTCATTTATCCATTCATTTAAATATTTATTGAGCACCTACTCTGTGTAGGCATCATTCTAGGGACTGGGGATATAGCAATGAACTAAACAATTCCATAACTCTCATGGAACTTTTATTCTAGTGGAAAAAGACAGGAGACAACCAACACATTATATCCGTTGTGTATTAAGTGTATGGGTGATTGACTAGAGAGTGGTCAGGAAAGGCCTCTCTGGTGACAGGTGAGCAGAGATCTGAATAAATGTGAAGAATAAGTTATGTGGGTACATGAGGAAGAGAAGGAGGGACAAGGGAGCACTATGTACAGAAGCCTTGAGCACATCATGGTGAGCAAATACACCTTTGTGCCAATTAGAAAAAAAATGGCCCCATTATAGGGTGTGACTCAAGACCCTGGTCCCAGTAAGCAGAAACCTGGACTGCAGCTTTCACCCCACATTTTATGCCGTGCAGAAACCCAGCCCTAGGCCACTGCCCTGGCCCTGTGTTGGGTATGAGGTGACCAAGTGACTGAGTGAGCAAGCAAAAGAATGGAGGGAGACAAAGTCACCTAATGGAGACTTTGTAGGCCACAGTAAGACGTGTGTCCACATGCACAGACGGACACGGCTGGGAATCAAACCTGCAGATTTTTTTTTTTAATGGTGCTGGGAATTGAACCCAGGTTCTCCTGCATAAACTCACAGATTTTTAAAGAACAGCTTTGCCGATATAATGTATAGACCATACAATTCACCCATTTAAAGTATACAAGCAATGACTTTCAGTATATTCAAACGTTGTACAGCTATTATTACAACCAGTTTGGGAACTTTTTCATAGTTTCAAAAAGAAGCCCTATGCCCTTACCATCACCTCTCACTCCACACCTACCTCTATCCCCAAGGGCAATCCCTAGGCTACTTTTTGTCTATAGATTTGCCTATTCTGACATTTCATATTAACAGAATCCTGCATTATGTGCATACTTCTCTCACTTAGCCTGATGTTTTTAAAGTTCATCCATGTTTTAGCATGTTTCAGTACTTCGTTTATTTTTCTTGCTGAATCATATTTTACGGTATGTGTGACATTTAATTTTACTTATTTATTTGGTACTAGGGATTTAACCCAGGGGTGCCCTATCATTGAGTGACATTCCCAACCCTTTTTATTTTTTACTTTGAGACAGGGCCTCTCTAAAGTGCTGAGGCTGACCTCAAACTTGAGATCTTCTTGACTCAGCCTCCCAAGTTGCTGGGATTTCAAGTGTGCACCATCTCTCCCAGCAGTATGACATTTTATTTATTCACTCATCAGTTGATGGGAATTTGAATTGTTTCCACTTTGGGGATATTATGAATAATGCTGGTAGCGATGTACATATACAAGTTTTCAGGTGAATATGTTTCCATTTTTCTTGGGTGTACTTAGGAATAGAATTGTCCTTGATCCACTTTGAGTTGAGCTTTGTGCAGGGTGAGAGATAAAGGTTCAATTTCATTCTCCTACTTATGGATTTCCAGTTTTCCCAGAACCATTTGTTGAAGAGGTTATCTTTCCTCCAATGTAGGCTTTTGGCACCTTTGTCTGGTATGAGATAATTGTATTTATTTGGGTTTGTCTCTGTGTCTTCTATTCTGTTCCATTGGTCTTAATATCTGTTTTGGTGCCAATACTATGCTGTTTTGGTAATATAGTAATATTTTTAAAAAATATCTTTAGTTGTAAATGGACACAATACCTTTATTTTATTTATTTTTATGTGGTGCTGAGGATGGAACCCAGTGTCTCACACATGTTACACAAGTGCTCTACCACTGAGCCACAACCCCAGCCCTCTGTACTATAATGCAAGGTCTGATATTGTCATGCTTCTTGCTTCACATTTCTTGCTAAGAATTGCTTTGGCTATTATGGACCTCTTATTTTTCCAAATGAATTTCATGACTACTTTTTCTAGTTTTATGAAGAACATCTTTGAAATTTAATAGGAATTGCCTCAAATCTTGGTAGTGTGGCTATTTTGACAAAATTAATTCTGCCTCTCCAAGAATATGGGAGATCTTTCCATTTTCTAAGGTCTTCAATTTATTTCTTTAGTGTTCTATAGTTTTCATTGTAGAATCTTTTACCTGTTTTTTTAGATTTATTCCCAAGTTTTCTTTTGTTTTTGTTTTTGTTTTTTTGAGGCTGGGATAGTTTTTCTAATTTCTCTTTTAGCTGAATCATCATTAGTGTATAGGAACACAATTGATTTATAGATATTAATTTTATAGCCTGCTACTTTGCTGAGTTCTAGTAGTTTTGATATTTTTTCAGTTCTCAATGAATCTTTATTTATTTATTTATTTATTTAAAGAGAGAGAGAGAGAAGAGAGAGAGAGAGAGAGAGAGAGAGAGAGAGAGAATTTTGTATTATTTATTTTTCAGTTTTCGGTGGACACAACATCTTTTTTTTAATTTTATTTTATGTGGTGCTGAGGATTGAACCCAGCGCCCCATGCATGCCAGGCGAGCGCCTTACCGCTTGAACCACATCCCCGGCCCCATGAATCTTTATTTGTATGCGGTGCTGAGAATTGAACCCAGTGCTTTACACATGCTAGGCAAGTGCTCTACCACTGTGCTATGAAGCCAGCCCTGAGTTCTAGTAGTTTTGTGGTGGAGTTTTTTGTGTCTTCTAAATATAGAATCATGTAATCAGCAAATAGGGATGTTTGAGGTCTTCTTTTCCTATTCGTATTCCTTTAATTTTTTTTCCTTTTTATTTTTTTGTCTAATTGCTCTGGCTAGTGTTTCAAGGATTATGTTGAATAGAAATGTTAAGGGAGGACATCCCTATCTTGTTCCTGTTTTTAGATGGAATGCTTTCAGTTTTTCTTTTTTTATATTTATTTATTTATTTTTAGATGTAGGTGAACACAACACAATTGCCTTTATTTTTATGTGGTGCTGAGAATCGAACCCGGGTCATTCTAGGCAAGCACTCTACTGCTGAGCCACAATCCCAGCCCCATGCTTTCAGTTTTTCTTCATTTAGAATGACATTGGCCTTGGGCTTAACATATATAGCTTTTACAATGTTGAGGTATGTTCCTACTATCCCTAGTTTTTCCAATGTTTTGAACATGAATGGATGCTGTATTTTGTCAAATGCTTTTTTTGCGTCTATTGAATAACAATGTGATTCTTGTCTTTAAGCATATTGATGTCATGAATTACATTCACTGATTTCCATATGTTGAACCAACTTTGCATTCCAGGGATGAAACACACTTGATCATGGTGCACTATCTTTAAAATATGTTTTTATATTCAGTTTGCCAGTATTTTATTAAGAAATTTTGCATCTATATTCATCAGGGATATTGGTCTGAAGTTTTGTTTCCTGATGTATCTTTGTCTGGTTTTGGTATCAGGATGATACTAGCTTCATAGAATGAGTTTGAAAAGGTTCCTTCCTTTCCTGTTTCATGGAATAACTCAAGGAGGATTGGTGTTAGGTCTTTGAAGGTCTGGTAGAACTCGGCTGAGAATCCGTCTGGTCCTGGGCTTTTCTTTGTTGGTAGGCTTTTGATGGCATCTTCAATTTCAATTGCTTAAAATTGATCTGTTTAAATTTTCTATGTCCTCCAGATTCAGTTTGGGTAGGTCAGATGTCTCTAGAAATTTGTCCATGTCTTCAAGATTTTCTAAGTTTCTAATTATCATCTGTATTCCAGTAGTGTCTGTGGTAATATTTCTTTTTTCATCATGAATTTTAGTAATTTGTGTTTTTTTCCCCTTATCTTGGTTAGCTTGGCTAAGGGTTTTTCAATTTTATTTATTTTTTCAAGGAACCAACTTTTTTTTTTTTAAAGAGAGAGTGAGAGAGGAGAAAGAGAGAGAGAGAGAGAGAATTTTTTAAAAAATATTTATTTTTTAGTTTTCGGCGGACACAACATCTTTGTTGGTATGTGGTGCTGAGGATCGAACTCGGGCCTCACGCATGCCAGACAAGCGCGCTACCGCCTGAGCCACATTCCCAGCCCAAGGAACCAACTTTTGTTGATTTTTTAAATTGGCTTTTTGTTTGTTTGTTTGTTTCAATTTTGTTGATTTCAGCTTTGAATTTGATTATTTCCCATCTTCTACTACTTCTAGTGTTGATTTGTTCTTCTTTTTCAAGGGCTTTGAGATGTAATGTTAGGTTATTTCATTGGTGACTTCCTATTCTTTTAATGAATGAACTCAATGCAATGAACTTTTTTCTTAGAATCGCCTTAATAGTGTCCCAGAGATTTTGATATGTTGTGTCGTTATTCTCATTTATCTCTAAGCATTTTTTTTTCATTTCATTCCTGATTTTTTTCTGCTATACATTGGTCATTAAAAAGTGTATTATTTAGTCTTCAGGAGTTAAATAGCTTCTATTTTTTATTTTATCATTGATATCTAATTTCATTCCATTATGATCTGATAGAATGCAAGGTGTTATGTCTATTTTTTATTTGCTAAGAATTGCTTTGTGACCTAAGATATGGTTTATGTTAGAGAAGGTTCTGTGTGCTGCTGAGGAGAAGTACATTCAGTCATTGATGGATGAAATATTCTATAAATGTCTGGTACGTCTAAATTATTAATTATAGTTTTTAGTTCTACAGCTCCTTTAGTTTTTGTTTGGAAGATCTTTCCAGTAGTGAGAGAGGTGTGTTTCATTGTATTGTGGCCTATTTGATTCTTGAAATTAAGAAGGATTTGTTTGATCTTTGTAAATGCTCCATTGTTTGAGGCATAAATTTTTATGATTGTCTTCTTGATGTATAATTCCATTAAGCAATATGAAATGTTCTTCTTTGTCCTCTCTGATTAATTTTGTCTTGAGGTCCAAAAATTTGTGATATGAGGCTAGAAACCCCTGCTTGTGTATGAGATGCCTGTGAAAAATATGCTTTTTCCCATCCTTTTTACCTTCAGTCTGTGGATGTCTTTGCCTATGAGGTGAGTCTCTTGGAGACACCCATATTGTTGGATCTGTTTTTTAATATAGTCTGCCAGTCTATTCTTTTTGATTGATGAGTTTAGGCTATTTACATTCAAGATTATTATTGAGAAATGATTTTATTTCCTACCATTTTGATTTATTGCTGGTCTTTTTTTCTTAAAGAAAGAATGAGAGAGAGAGTGAGAGAGAGTGAGAGAGAGAAAGAGAGAGAGAGAATTTTTTTAATATTTATTTTATAGTTTTCGGCCGTCACAACATCTTTGTTTGTATGTGGTGCTGAGGTTCGAACCTGGGCCGCACGCATGAAAGGCGAGCATGCTACTGCTTGAGCCACATCCCCAGCCCTATTGCTGGTCTTAATTTGAATTAGTTTCTTCTTTGATTGACTATTATTCTGTGTAGTTCCTAACTTTGTTGGTTTTCAATTTTATTTTTCATTGCTTCTTCATGAAATATTTTATTGAATATGTTCTGTAGTGCAGGCTTTCTATGTGAATTCTTTTAACTTTTGTTTATCATGGAAGGTCTTTACTTCATTGTCAATTTGGAAGCTAGTAGAGTTTTTGTGGTTGGCATCTATTTTCTTTCAGAGGTTGTTATATATTATTCCAAAACCTCCTAGCTTTGAGGGTCTGGGTTGAGAAATCAGCTGAGATCCAGATTGGTTTCCCTCTAAATGTGAACTATCATTTTCCTCTGGCAGTTTTTAAAATTCTATCCTGCTTCTGTGTGCTAGGCATTTTCATAAATAATGTGCCTTGGTATGAGTCTGTTGTAATTTTGTATATCTGGAGTCCTGTTAGCCTCCTGTATTTGATTTTACATTTCATTCTTAAGGTTTTGGAAATCTTTTGATATTATTTCTTTGAAAAAATTGTGCCCTCCTTTTGTATCTCTGAGCCTTATCTATTCTGATAAATCTTATATTTGGTATTTTCATGTTATCCCATGTTTCTTAGTAGTTCTATTCATGGTATTTTTTAAGAGTATCAAATTATTTTATTACAAAACTTAACACCATTTACTGATCATCCACTTTTCTAAAAATCACAAACACAAGAAAAGAACAAATTCATCCAAGGTTCACCAGCCCTGGGAAGATAGGAAAAAGCCCTGAACAGGGAACCTGCAAATATTTTTCTTATGCCTGATATCTTAGCATCCTACTTCACTCTAGGCTTCCACTTTTTGTCACCTCTGACAAGGGGAGGAAACTGGCTAGAAGAATCACTGACAAGAAGGTCACAACCAACTTGAAGGCTATGTGATACTAAGGGCTTGTACATTCTAGTTTGTAACTCTGAGAAATGATATCAGATAAGCACTGTCAAAATACCTATTTCCGGGCTGGGACTGTGGCTCAGCCAGAGTGCTCGCCTAGCATGGGCAAAGGCATTGTGTTGTGTCCATCTACACCTAAAAAATAAATATTAAAAAAAAAACAGCAATGACTTTATTTATTAAAAAAAATATCTACTCCCCACTAACATTTACTGTCCTTATTCTCTGAATTACCTTTGGAACTGGTTGTGTTATTTCATTTTAGCTTATGTTTATCCCAGAGCACAAACCCTAAAATCCATGTGCAGTCTCCATGTTCAAGTTTAGAATTGCTTCAGACAACCCCAGTGGCTGTATTGTTCATGTTCTATAGTATGTACTGGGTGTCATACCCTTACACAAGCAGGTCAAGTGGCAGCCCAGTGCAGAGGGCACACAGGGACAACTTTCCCACTGCCAATCTTATTCCTGCTCTATCTGGACACTGCCCCACAGTTAAGGTAGATTTTTTTATTTCAGTGGCCCCAACTGAATGAAGTCATATTCTCATGGATCAGGAATCCAGTTCTTCACCATTAATTAAATGGGGTTTTCAAACAGAGCCAGGAATATTCTTAGGAAATGTCCTGGGACTGGGCTGGTGGGTTCTCAATCTCTTGCTTGGGAGGGGACACTGGCACAGCTTATTTTTTTCTGGGCCGCCAGGAACTCATGAATCATTTGAGCTGATGTTAACCCTCTTTAGAAAAGTTATCAGCAAAGATTTTATCCCATTCTACAGGTTCTCTAGTAACATTCTTAATTTTTTTTTCTGCACAGAAGCTTTCTAATTTGATGCCAATTGCTTTATTAACTCTTACTATTTTTTCTTGAGCTTTAGAGGTCATATTGACAAAGTCATTGCTCATACCTATATGTTTTAGTGTTGTTGATCTTACGTTTCTTGTATTTTTTTTTTTTTTTTTGCACTGGGGATTGAACCCAGGGGCACTTAACCACTGAGCCATACCCTGAGCCTTTTAAAAAATATTTTATTTAGAGAAAGGATCTCACTAAATTGCTTAGGGACTCACTAAGTTGCTGAGGCAGGCTTTGAACTTGCCTCCTCCTGCCTCACTCAGCCTCCCAATCCTCTGGGACTATAGACATGTGCCACTATGCCTGACTCTTATGTTTTCATCTATGAGTTGTATAGTTTCTAGGTCCTTGATCCATTTTGAGTTAACTTTTATTCAGGGTGAGAGATAAAGGTCTACTTTTATTCTAGACCCTTATCTCTTACCAGTTGTCCCAGAACAATTTGTTAAAAAGTCTGTCTTGAGCTGGGGTTGTGGCTCAGTGGTAGAGCTTTTGCCTAGCATGTGTGAGGCCCTGGGTTCAATTCTCAGCACCACATAAAAAAAATAAAATAAAGGTCCATTGTCAACTAAATATTTAAAAAAAATGTTTGTCTTTTCTCCAATGTATGTTTTTGGTATCTTTGTCAAGGATCAGATGATTGTATCTGTGTGGATTTGTTTCTTCTGTCATATATATATTAGTTGTAGATGGACACACTAACTTTATTTTATATTTTTATGTGTACTGAGGATTGAACCCAGGGCCTCACACATACTAGGCAAGTGCTCTACCATTGAACTATAACCCAGCCCCTGTGTGGGTTCATTTCTGTGTCTTCTATTCTATACTGTAGGTTAGTGCATCTGTTTTTATGCCAGTACCTTGCAGTTTTTGTTACTATAGCTCTGTAGTATAATTTGAAGTTAGGTTTTGTGATGCCTCCAGCATTGTTTTTTTTTTGGCTTAGAATTACTTTAGCTATTCTGGGTGTTTTATTCTTCCATATTAATTTTAGGACTGCTTTTCCTAGTATTCTTGATATTTTGATGGGCATTACATTGAATCTGTATATTACTTTTGGTAGTATGGCCATTTTGACAATATTAATTCTGCCCATTCACTTCTTTTGTTTTGTTCAACTTCTTTCTTCAATATTCTGTAAGTTTTCATTGTAAAATTCTTTCATCTCCTTGATTAGATTTATTCCCAGGTATTCTTTTTAAATTATTGTGTAATTTTGTAACATATTGATTTTTTTTGATGCCATTCATTCTTGGTAAATTGGAAAGCTATTCATTTCTGTATGTTGATTTTGTAACCTGCTATTTTGCTGAATTTGTTTTTTAGCTCTAGCAGTTCTTTGGTGGGGCTTTTTGGATCTTCTAAGTATAGAATCGCATCATCTGCAAACAGTGGTAATTTAACTTCTTCCTTTCCTATTTTTATTCCTTTTATTTTATTCTCTTAACCAATTGCTCTGGATAGAACTTCCAGTAGTATATTAAATAGAAGTGTTAAAATTGGACATCCTTTTTTTTTCAGATTTTAAAGGAAATGCTTTCCATTTTTCCCCATTCATTATGATGTTGGCTTTGGATTTTTCATAGGTAGCCTCGATGATGTTCAGGTAGTTTCCTTCTATCCCTAGTTTCTTCAATGTTTTTACATGAATGGGTGTTGAATTTTGTTGAAGGCTTTCTCTGAATCTTTGAGATAACTAAGTGATTTTTGACTTTGATTATATTTTTATGTGATGAATTACATTTATTGATTGTATATGTTAAACCATCCTTGCCCTCCTTGGTCTTCTTACTATATTATCTATTAAGGATTTTTTGCATCTAAGTCAGGGCAAAGAACATGAAAGTCCAGACTTACACGTTGTTTTTTCATTTGCATTAAGGGCCTTGGTGAAGGTGATGAGAAGTCACCTGTTGACTGTCAGCATCTGGAGTATCTTCTTTCTCTCTTTCAGAGTAAAGGCCCTAAAGCTGTCATCAACATCAAGGACTTGAATGCCACTTTCCAGACAGAGAAGATAGGGCACCCACACGGGCTGCAGATCACCTACAGGAGAGAGCGCCACATCAGGAACCTGTTTGTGTACCACGAGAGTGGGAAGGTGAGATGGCTGGAGTCCCACCCCAGCTGCCGGTCCAGCTCACCACCATCCTTGCTTATTGCACAATGTGTTCAGCTGCCTCTGAAGACTTATTGCTGCCTCTTGCCTTAATCTATTTTCAGTTTCCAGTGTGACACAGAGGTCTGAAGAAGGCAGAGTGAGATGTGGGAGAGGAACCTGGTAGATGCCATGGTCCTATACGGACAGTGCACAATCACCAGTGGGAGTCCAGTTAGCAGAAGGGACTATGCCTCAGGATGGTACATCCAGATAGGGCCTGAGTTTCTGAATATAGGAGAAATGGCTAACTCAGGCTAGGGCCTTTCTGCTCAGCTGCTGTCCTGGACCAACAGCATTGGCATCACTTGGGAACTTGTTAGAACCAGAGTCCCAAGTCCATCCCAGACCTACTGAATTAGAAACTTCCCTTCAACAGGATCCTTAGGTGATCCCAAAACACGTGAAAGTTTGAGAAGCGTTACTTAATGGTCTGCAGATCAGCTCAGAGAAGAGAAGGCCAATAGTCCAGGTTTGAGAGGATACACAGGGTCAGATCCTGACTACATGATGGGGGCAAAGAACAGAGGTGCTAAGTAGTGGGTAGAGGGAAGTCGGGGTTTACATTTTGTGGGCATCTATTAACTCTGCTGTTCTATACAGCATTTTTTATAATATTTATTTTTTAGTTTTAGTTGTCAATACTTTTATTTTATTTTTTATTTTTTATATGGTGCTGAGGACTGAACCCAGGGCCTCGCATGTGCTAGGCAAGTACTCTACCGCTGAGCCACAATCCAAGCTCAGCATTTATATATCTACACACACACACACACACACACACATACATATAGTTGTCAATGGACCTTTATTTTTATTTATTTTTTTTTTATGTGGTGCTGAGGATCGAACCCAGTGCCTCACAGATGCTAGGCAAGTGCTCTGCCACTGAGCTACATCCCCAGCCCCTGCATTTCTTAATCTTCTAAACAACCATGGAGGGCTAGGGATGTGGCTCAGCGGTAGAGCACTCGGCTAGCACGTGCAAGGCCCTGGGTTCAATCCTCAGCACGACATAAAAATAAATAAATAAAATAAAGGTATTGTGTCCATCTACAAAATAAAAAATAAAATGTTAAAAAAAAAACAAAAAACAACCATGGAAATGTCTTGTCCCCTTGCTCCCAAGCCAATGATTCCTGGGCCCTGCACCCATTTTTACCATTCCATGTGCCTCTGCTGGTGGGATAACCTTTAGCATTAGGAGCCAGGAACCAGATGCAGGGACTAGGCCTTCCCGAGACCCACACTGGAATGTTGCCTGTGGGTCACCCTGTCAGCAGCCTTTGCAGACTCCTTCGTCTACTCCACAGTCTACCTGGGTGCCTCGTGGCAAGGGTTTGGAGTCAAAGTTAGAGCCCCGGCTCTGCTGTTCTCCACTGTGTTGCTGGGGCGGGTCCCTTCCCTGTGCTTGTTTTTGGATTCTGGCACCCATCCCTCAGAAGGACTTTAAGAGCTGAATGACCATGAACCACGGATGTGAAAGATTTCATCACCATTACGTGCATTACAAACATTACTTATTACGGTTGATATTTGCTCATGACTGTAGAAGACGTCAAGGGCAAAGTCTTGTAGTCATGTATTCATTTACAAACTCACTCTCTTAACAAATTCTTCTTGAGCCCCTGCAGTGTGTGAAGGGTCTAGGGAGTGTCATCATGAATGGTGCAGAGCCATGGGCCTCAAGGATCTCACAGTCTAGGGAGGAAGGAGGAAATAGGCACTGACCATGCCCTGGGATGGGTGGCCATGCTGGGGACACATAGAAGACGTGTGTTTTTAGGATGTGTGCAGGAGGGTCAAGAAGGCTTTCCAGAGGAAAGTTTCTATTTAAGAATTTGGGGGATTCTGCTAAAAAGGAGCATTCTACCATGGTGTAAAGGACATGGTATAAAGAGCATGGTGGCCACGCCTGTAATCCCAGTGGCTCAGGAGGCTGAGGCAGGAGGATCATGAATTCAAAGCCAGCCTCACCAACTTAGTGAGGCCCTAAGCAACTCAGTATCTAAATAAAATATAAAAAGGGCTGGGGATGTGGCTCAGTGGTTAAGGACCCTTGGGTTCAATCCCCAGCATCACACACACACAGAAAAAGGAGCACAATCTGGTTTAAAGAAGCATGAACAGGAAGGGGACAGAAGTATTTGTTTTAAGGGTCAGAAGTACTGCTGGGCCTCCTGAGAGATTAAAATCAGGAACTAACACTCATCTCTCCTCTCCTCTCCCTCTCTCTCTCTCTCTCTCTCTCTCTCTCTCTCTCTCTCTCTCTCTCTCTCTCTCCAGAGAGGCAAAAAGGAAGAGAAAATGAGAGGAGGAGAGAGAGAGAGAGAGAGGGAGGGACAAAGTACACTCTTTAACAGGCACAAGTTGACCTTACATCATCAGGGATCAAATGGTACCACACTTGTTTTGTTTCCCTAAATTCAAGAGCCTCATTTCCAAGATTAGCAAGGAATGTAATCAGTCATCTCTCTTGTCCCAGGGACACCAGTCCATTACTGGAGAGACCTTATAAAGTGGTAGCCTGAGCGAGTTTTTCTGGTCTGGCCCCATTCCCTTAGTGCCTGAGACCCTAGAAAGTTCTTAACAAACCCAGGGGCAAGATGGCTTGGAACTTCAGAATACTAGCCCCCTATCCTTGACCTAGGGGTAACAAGTGGAAATTGTTTCATTCCTTTAAAACCATATTTAAATGACTTTTTCAGTCACCTTATTACCTCAAAGTCCAGTGCTGCAGCTATTTGGACAAGTCTTTCAGCCTCCCAGTTCCTGGGAGAAAGAATCTGGTAAATCCAGTCCAGCCTCTCTATCGGTCCAGTCCTGGTCCAGATGCTATGGCCCAGGAAGAGCAGGATTGGGAATGGAAATGGGGGTGAGGGGCAGTTCTCAGAGAAACAGGTTGGCTAAGCAACCAGCCGAAAATTTATTACAACATCTAAACTGACCTGCAGGATGGTAGAATGTTCTAGTTAAAAGATGTGTGTGGGAGGGAGGTGGGTGAGGCCAAGTGCGCCAGGAGGAGGGGATACCATGAGTTGGGGGTATTGAAAATGTTGAGTGGAAAGAGCTCAGAGGAAAGAGTGTGTCATGCTAAAGAACTTAGGGTAGTGGAGGCATCCAGCCAACCTGGATGAATTAACCAGATAGTCACTATCTGAATCTGAGCTCCTGAATCGGAGTCTACATTTGAAGAAGATTCCAGATGATTCCAGCAGGCATTAGAAAGTGGAGAGCAATGTCCTGAGCCATTGTGTGTAGCTCCTATGCAGCTCACCTGAGTCCTTTCCCATAGCTCTGGAGTCCCTCCTGTCAGTGGTTTCCCTGAAGTCTGTGGCCTAGTCCTCCCAGGTTGACCCTAGCTGGAACTGTGTGGCCTATATGTGTGCTGAATGCATTGGCCCCAAACCTGAAAACCCTAACCAGCCACCAGACTCAGCCTCCCGTCCTCACCCGTCTGACTAGCTGTCTGTGTCCTTTGTATTTTGTCACAGGAGATAGTGGACTGGTTCAACGCCCTCCGCGCAGCCCGTCTGCAATACTTAAAAATGGCCTACCCCGAGCTTCCAGAGTCTGAGGTGAGCTACCTGTAGACCCCAACTTCTCAGTCTCCCCCTGCCACCTCCTCTCCTCAACTACTGATCCCTGAGGCCAGACGAGGTTTATTGCAGGCAAGACCTGGAAAGGAGAGAGTTGGGCACCACAGAGGGAAGCTGAAGGCTTTTATTTTTCTGGGGAGGCCGGAGGATAATGGACTCTAAAAATCAGGTCAGTTTCTTCCCTTCAGGACACATGGCCACTATAGTGTCAAGAGGCTCAGCCTTTGGACATCTCTTTCTGACTCCTTCTCCCACTAAAATGAACAAATGGTCCCTCCATACTGTTTAACAAAATGCTTTGGAGCCCATTTTATCTTGTAACCCTTTTGGGCAGGATGAGTATTCCCATTTTACAGATGAGAAATGGAGTCCCAGGAAGGTCAAGTGAGTAACGGAAGGTGCTCTTCTCACACTAACATCTGCCCTTTTCCCTATGGTGCTCTGGACTCAGGGAGGCCTTAGGATCTTCCCCACTGCAATTGTAACAGGAGAGGTCTGCCTACAGTGGCCAAGGTAATGGTGAGCCCGAGAACTTCATTGGAACGGTCCTCAGGCCTGGGTGGGGTAGCCCATGTGGCACAAGGCAGAGGATGCTGCCTTGAGCCAGGAGGCCTGGACCCTCATGGACGCTCTGTCCCTGATTTGCTATGTGACTCCTGCAGGTCATGGCACCTCTCTGAGCATCTGTTTTCATATTGGGTGGTTGTTGCAGACCCTCTTCATGGTCTCTTCCAGCTCTGAGGTGCTGTAGCTCTGGTCCCTGTTTTAAGCTTTCCTCTAAGAGGCGTTTTAAGGTGATAGAGGTAGAGAGATCCTGTTAATCCTGGACTTTCCTTTCTCCCAATTCTTTGACCCTCTTTGCTCCTCAGTTCCAAAGCTTGCAGGGAGCTAGATGTCTGGGTTAGGGTCCACTCCGGTGGCCCAATGATGCATTGAGACAGCAGCTCCCTGGGTACAGTTCCAGTAAGGCCTGGCCTGGTTCTGAGAAGCCCTTGGAGGTTGGTGTGCTGAGTCAGCACGTGGAGCTGGCTCCTGCTTGCTCCCTTGGGCGGGAGTTGGGAGTGCTGACTGCTGACCAAGAGGAGGAGAGGACAAAGTGAAAGTGCTCAGCCTTGTTTCATTGGGGCTGGCTTCCCATCCTTGCTGACCCATGTGGAGGAAATTGGTCTTCAGCCAGTGTCCTCCATGTTCCCTTTTCTCTCTTGTTCATGATCATTACCCCTTATCCATCTCCAGTACCCACCTCTCTCCTCTGTCTTTCCTCGCACCCTATGTCTATGTATGGTGTGAAGTTCTGGGCAATCATCCAGACTTAGCTCAGGATTAAGGATCCAAATGCTGGAAACCCAGGGAGGCCCTGTGGAGTTGTGGTCTTTTTATCAGAAATAGATACAGGATCTGGGTACAATGCTTATAATCCCAGCTACTTAGGAAACAGAAGCAGGTGGATCACAAGTTCAAAGCCAGCGAGACAATTGAGCAAGACCCTATCTCAGAAATTAAACAAACAGGGATGGGTTCAAGAATACAGTGCTTGGGCTGGGGATGTGGCTCAAGCGGTAGCGCGCCCGCCTGCCACGCGTGCGGCCCGGGTTCGATCCTCAGCACCATATACAAACAAACATGTTGTGTCCGCCAAAAACTAAAAAATAAATATTAAAATTCTCTCTCTCTCTCTCTCTTAAAAAAAAAAAATACAGTGCTTGTCTAGCATGAAGCTCTGGATTCAATCCCCAGTACCGCAAAAAGAAATCACAAAAACAAAAATGCATACAGGGCTGGGGATGTAGCTCAGTGGTAGAGCACTTTCCTAGCATACTTAATTCCATCCCCAGCACCACAAAAAAAAAGAAAGAAAGGTACACAGATTTTGATGTGTTATTTAGGGCAAGCCACCTCGCCTCTCTGAGCCTCAGTCTACTCATCTGTCACCACAGGGACAATGCTTACCTTCCAGGACTATTTTAAGAATCATTTGAGTCAAGTTATACAAGGTACAGTAAGGAGTTCCCTTCTTCCCATTGTTTCCCTGAGCCTAGACTAGCCCTGGGCTGGCTCAAGTTCAGAATAGGGAGCAACTGGTGACCCTATTTTCTCCAAATGGAGAAATTAAAGCTTATAGGATGTATTTTAGGGAAATGGGAGTAACATAGTTGAGGTTTTCATTTTTGGCCCCCAATTTCTCCCCTTTCAGATTTCCCATTCTTCTTCCCCAGATCTCTCTGCCCCTTTGCCCCTGCCCTGGAGCCTGGGAGAACGTGCTCTGTTCTTGAAACAAGTCTGCTGCTTGAAACTTTTGACTTGCCCAGTTGACACCCCCTCCCCACCCCGTCCTCCCACAGCACAGGAGGCCAGTGTCAATCCCTGGCAGCTTCTCTGAGCACAGGAGGGCAGGCTGGAGCTCACATGATCAAGTCTTGTCCATTGCACAGGAGGAACTGGCCCAGAGAGACAGAAGGTCTCATTAAGGTAGCACAGCTGGTTGAGACCAGAGGTGAAGCGAGAATGCATGTCCGTCCACTCCTAGCCCAGAGCTTTCCCTGTTTGCCCACTCTGCAGTCACTTCCTTGTGACCCTATATCAGTTTCCCTGCCAATGGCCAGTCTCAGTCAAGGGGGCTCTGGCACGTGTGCACCTTGGCACCACAGTGAGGTGGCAGGTGTATGGCCTTGTGCCTCTGAGTCCTGAGCATGCTACCAGCTACATAACTTAGAGAAGACCCCCCACCACTTCATTTCAGCTGGGTTCCTTCAGATGCACAATGAGGCCGATAAGATCCACCTCACAGGGCGGCTGAGGATTGCACCCAGATCCTGACACACAGTAGACCCTAGGAAAATGTTCCCAAGAGGCACCAAGAGGGTCTCTCATGGTCTCACTTGAGTCCATTCTTGTGACTGAAGTTGTCCTTAAACCAAGTCCCTAAACTAAGACTCAGCCATGGCTGGTGAGCTCAGCAAATATCTGGGGTGCTGTCGACTGGCTTTGTTGAAATATTGATATTACATCCATTGCACATTCCAAATATAACCCCGTAAACCATGAGTTCACATCCTTCCCTATTCCAAACTTCCCCTTTCTCTGGGAGCCAAGTTCAGTGGGGAACCTTGAACTCCTGGGGTGTGAGGAGGGGGTCAGCCTCTGTCTCTCTTCCCCCAGCTCGTGCCCTTCCTCACCAGGAACTACCTCAAACAAGGCTTCATGGAAAAGACTGGTCCAAAGGTACATTCAACCACTCCTTGGGGGTCTTACATGGATCTGTCCCAACTACCAATAGGCCAGAATTGGGGAGGTGGGGAAATGGGGAAAGAGGGTTGGAGAGGGAGGGAAAGAAAGTAAACTCGTATTTGTGAGCTCCCGGGCTGAAGGGATGGGTGAAGGCTCCATGTCAGCTGGCGTGTGATCCAGCCTTGCTCCAGGGCCTTCTTTCTCTCATGGGGGTATCCCAACCCCCATCATCATCACCATCAGCTTCTTTCCTCCAAACTCCCTCCATCTGTGGAAAAGCAGAGCCGAGAAGGGGATCCCTGGGGAGACAGCTTTTGGGCTTCCCAGAATCCTCTGCTGGGAACCCACGGGGACCCTCCAAGGAGAGGCAGACTGGCCCAAGGAAACACATTCATGCCAGGGTGAGGCTGCATGTGCACTCACTCCCTCACACTCAGCCTGACTCCTTTGCTAAACCACCTCCCTCCCTCAGCAGCTGCTTATTCCCACTTATCTATGAAGGAAAGGAAGGGCTGCTACTGTGGGGAGGAACCTGGATGTTGATGAAGCTTAAAGAAGCTGGGCTGGGCTGGGCTGGGGAGATAGCTCAAGTGGTAGAGTGCCTGCCTCCCATGCACAAGGCCCTGGGTTCTAATCCCCAGCACCACACATAAACAAAGTCTGGCTGAAGGGGGTCCAGGTGGTTGGATGAGGCTTGAGGGGGAAGCAAAGGGAGGAGCAAGGCAAAGGTAGCTCCCAGAAGAGTTCTCTCTTCTAAAGAATCCTCCAGAAAAGGCAGCATTCCAGATATATATTATATATATATATTTTTTTTAAATAAAAGATTTAATGTGTTTCTAGGATGGATGTTAAACAATGGTGCAAGGTGTTAGGGGTAGAGTGAGAAAAGTCTCAGGTGGGTTGGAAAAGGGGCCAAAGGTTTGCTTTAGGTTTCTTCCTTCTCTAGCTGGGCACCGCCCCTCCCTATGGCTTTTACCCCAGGGTTTTCTCTCCCCTGACCTAGGTTAGGATTGGGTCAAGGCCAGCACTTTCAGCTTGGCTGAACAGTAGCCACTTCTGATTTCCCCAGCTTCCTTTTTCTGAGATTTCTTTGTCCACAGCTTGAGAAAGAGGGAAGCGGGCCTTCCCAGCTCTGGCAGCACCTGGAGGCAGCTGGGGTGAAGCTGGAAGGGGGTGGGGTGGGAGATGAGGGCTGGGAATGGGGTTGGGAACTTGCAGAGCCCCGGAGAGAAGTACTGGGCTTGTTCTAGGCTGGCCCTGACCTCTGTCCCCTGCTTTGTCATCCCTGGTAAGAGGTTCCCTCTTTTGCAGCAGAGAGAACCTTTCAAGAAAAGGTGGTTTGCCCTGGATCCCCAGGAGCGGAGGCTGCTGTATTACAAGAACCCGCTGGTAAGAGTCACTTCTGGTCCCTCCCCAGGACAGTTCCAAGGAGAAGTGGGTCAGCACTTGTCCAGCCTACACAAATAAACGCATCTCCTGGAGCCCCCAGGGTTGGGGAGCCCTGATCAGGAAAGCCTGTGCCCACCCCTTCTAAGTTAGTTCCTGTTCCTGAAGCCCATTGAGAGCTTCCCAGATGCTGCCAGTTGTGATTAGATAAGGCATGTTCTTCCCCCTGCAGGCTCTGGGGCCTGGTTTCTAACCAGGAGGCTGAGATGAGGAGTGGTGAGGAGTGGAGTCTCTCGAACCTGGTTGTCTGGGCTCCGGTCTCAGCCATGCCATTGTGGTGGCATGTCCTGGGTGGTGTACACACTGAGCTCTGTGTGCCTCAGTTTCCTTCTGTGAAAAATAGACTTAATATGTATGCCTTGCTCAGCGGGTCCCATGATGATCATGACTTCCTACATGGAAAGCGCTTGTATGCCCGGTGCCCAGCGATCTCTCCATACACGTTAAGTGTCTTCTCAACAGATGATTATGTGATTTGCTTCAGGGTTTTAACCTTTCAAATTCAAGTCGTTCCCCCACCCACCCACACGGTGGCATACCCCTGTCATCCCAGCGGCTCCCGAGGCTGAGGCAGGAGGATCGCGAGTTCAAAGCCAGCCTCAGCAAAAGCGAGGTGCCAAGCAACTCAGTGAGACCCTAAGTAAAACACAAAATAGGGCTGGGGAGGTGGCTCAGTGATTAAGTGCCCCGAGTTCAATCCCCAGTATCCGCCCACCCCACCCCTCAAAAAAA